CTTGACTCCACTCCCACACTATACTCCACATCCCATGACTATATATATATATATATATATATATATATATATATATATATTCACTTATAGTTGACGCTACATAGCTGTTTAATGATTAGAATCTATTTCCTTAGGAATAATATCTGTTCTTTTAGTCACAGAACTTGAGAGGCAGAAACATTTCCACCAACTCTGACACAAGGTCTAGTTCTTTAGATATCAGTATATCATAATTTAAAACTTACCTTTAGATGTTTCCCAGCATACAAAAGAATCAATTAAAGATAAGCCTTGCTTATAATAAAATGTAGTTAACTCCAGCCAATCGGCATCAAGTGTACTAATGACAGATCCTTTTCTTGTTACTTTCACTGACAGGACGCCCTCCTGATAGGTCCAGGAGGTTGATTCATCATCAAAGACATTGAAGACTGTATACAACTTGTTATCTGAGGATAGGCATTCAGAAGGAAGAAAAAAGGGGAAAACTATAATTTCACTGAAAAGATTCTTAAAATCTTTTATTAATCATGAGCTATTTTAAGCATATAAACAAGCATAGAGGATAATAAAATTAACCACCACTCAGCTATATCAAATGTTAACATTGTGCCATGTTTGCTTCAGACTTTTTTCAAAGAAATGCAAAATGGATATAGTTGAGGCTCACTAAGTAGTCTTCCTTAATCCTAGTCTCCAGAAATTGCTGCTATAATGAATTTGGTGTTTATCACTCTTATGCAAGATTTTATTCTTTTAATATATATTTATATACTTACAAATTGTATACAATGTGTTACAGTTTAAAAACGTCTAAAAAATGGTATCATACTATGTATATCAATCTATAAATTAATTTTCTTGTTCAACATTATGCTTTTGAAGTGTAATTAATACTTTATAGAGCTTATTCATTTACTTTACATAGTATTCCAGTTTACTATTCTCCTGTTGTTGGGCATGTACATTATTTCCAAATTTTTGTTCTTACAAATATTCTTTGTGTCTTTTTAAACACATGTGTGAGAGTGACTCTAGAGTACATACTTAGACATGAAATTGCTGGGTCATATCTTCTACTTTACTGTAAGTTGTCAAATTCTTAACTTGGGGGTCTATGGACCCACATCTGTGATTGTTTTAGGACGTCTAACACCACTTGCATTATAGATAAAAGTATTTGGGTCTGTTTGTTATGTGCATTTTTCTGGGTTAAGTCTCATGGATTTCTTCAGATTCTCTGAGAAGTCTTTGTGTATCTGTTCCCCCTACCTCCCTTAGTGGTTCTAAGAACTACTGCCACAGCAAAGTTATTAAGAAGTATATGATTTACAAATAAACTATTTAGAAAGTGGAATCTAAAGATTGATAATTAAATCAAGTAGGTAGCATACTGGGTTTAGAACTTCAAGTACTGGAAATAGACACCTGATCTAATCAGAGACAGGATGGGACCCAGCAGTTTAAAGGCAGCCGTGGGTGGAAGATACTGACTAGCTCTCTGACCACAGGTCCAACAACCCTCGTTCACCCTTACACCCCTACATTTTTTACACTGCAGGAAAATCAGGGGGGTGGTTAGCTAGGGAACTGGTGAAGAACAGGGAGGGTGGTGGTGGTGAGGAGGGTGAGATGATGAGTTGAGAAATGCTCCTGGTTTTCTTAAGGAGATTGTGATGATCATGGCCGAATGGGTCTTTGTCATGTGCAGGATGTTAAGCAGATCTCACCACAACCCAGAAAGCACGTGCCGCCATTGTGAGCAGCTTTACTTTGTAGACATCTCTTATCTACTTCTTACAACAACCCCTTTTCTATAAAGAAATTGAGGCAGTCTTACTCTACAGCTCTTAACCCTAAGGTATACACAGTCTTTGATTTTCTATAATAGTGCTTTTTAAAGCATACCTGCTAGGGTATCAGAAAACTTTGGACAGTCCAAAAACATGAATAAAATGCTCTGTTTCTTCAAAAGACTCGCTAGTTGGCAACGCAGAATAAGACTATTGTTTAAAGATATTTTAGGATGCAGACACTATTGTTACATTATTTGTTTCATCATGATGTGCCATTTTCATATTCTAATTGATGATCAAAGAAAGCCAATAAATGTCAAGGGTGAAAACCATGCACGAAATGGGAAAGACCAAAACTAAAATTCTCACACATTGTTTATAAGTACAAACATAATTCAGAACAGCTTTCTTTATAGAATCACTTTTTTTTTGTACACATGCACAGCCTCCATTTTACAGGGGAGCTGGCGAATGACTAGATGGAAAGCAAATTTCAACACAAAGATTCAGTATGTTGATGGCATTGTGTGACAATGGCGGGGACATCTGAAAAACTGTCTTACCTACCTATTTCTGGCTATAATAATTTAAAAAAATCAAGACAAGTTTATATTAGTTTATTCAGTTTTATAACCGTTAGAAATGTACTTTGACTCATATTTCTTAAAAAATACTTATTTTGCTAAATTTAACCTAATATGTATTCTATTTCTATTCATCTTGTCTATTACCTTCTCCTTTTTTTGATTTAGAGGAACTGGGGCTGCCATCTTGTTCCACTTGACACTGTCCACTTTCATGATGAAATTCTTCCTCAATTCCACTTTCAGATGATTGCCCACTTAATGTTCCTTCATTCCAACTTTTACAGTTTTCATCTGATGTGTGTCTCACATGTAGTGGTGATTCTGTATCTCCATCATGGTTGGCTCCATTGCAGAACGGTGGATAATGTTGTGATATGAACCCAACAAACCTCATTCCTTTTTTAGCAGCTACATTAATCTGAGGTTTAAAAAGAGATGGTAGAACAAAATATAAGCTTCGTTTACATTGATACTGTATCAATTAACTTTTAGGCTCATTAAGGAAATCCATTAGAAGAAAGAGTAAATTGGCCAGTAACTAAAGACCCATTCATAAACCGATAACCAAGATAGCACTGCTCCTAAGACTATGTCACACTATTACTGTGATTTCTTCAAACGGAACTAATGCACTTTAGAAATTATGAAAACAGGAATCATATTTTTTTGAAAGATTAGTATTTGGGAAGAACTAATGATTCTCTATGATTTTTGCAGACCTGTTAATAATGGTCTCTCCAGTTGAAGTAAAATTAAAAACTATTCCAAAAAATTCTTGAAAGTAACATTACCAAACAAATCTTAATTAATAAAAAAGAGACATTAATTTAAAAGCAAAAAAAGTTAATAATACAGCATTGTTTGTTTGAGCTGGGTAAAAAAAAATGTTAAAAGATGAATTCTTGACAAACGTGTATCTATAATGCAAGAACCCAATTCATACTACCTCTCTTAGGAAGCTTTCTGATCTGCTTATATCTTGATGCTTTTGTCTCCTAATGAACATGATTAGATTCAATCCTATCAGTTAAAGAATAGAGTTCAAGGGGTGACCAGTTAGCTCAGTTGGTTAGAGCATGGTGCTAATAACTCAAGGTTGCATGTTTGATCCCTGCATGGGCCACTGTGAGCTGCGCCCTCCTTAAAAGAGTCAACTATGCCACTGTAGCATGAAAGCAATGTGTAATGAATGATCATGGCTTTTCCCCAATAAAATTTAAAAAATTAAAAAACAAAAAAGAATAGGATTCAGAAGCACATGACTTAATGCCAGTGAAATAATTTCAGACCTTAAGGGTAGTTATTTTCTCTGCTTTTGCTTCATTTCTTTGCTCATTTTATGTCCATGTCTTTCCTCTGTGTTCAACTGGCAATTCTTTTGAGGGCAGGACTGTGTCTTGTTCATCTTTGTATTGTAATGTTTTGTACCTATAGGTGCCCTGGAAGTACTTGCTAAATAAGTTAAAATAAAGAAATGGCAACATCTTTTACATGGTCACTGCTTGGAACTTTTGAGGTAAATGTTTAATTTTAACATCGGGAGGGGAAGAATTAGTTATGAGGGAGGTTGCAAATGTCAACGTTTATCGTCAGAAATGAAATGGAACGAGAAAGTCCAGGAAGAGCCGGAGCAAAACCAGAGAACAATGTCCAAGCAAGGGGGCGACTGCATTAGCTTCCGCTGATGAGGAGAATTCTGAGAGGGACAGAATGTGTGGGTGTGTGCTGGGAAAAAGGACTATACTGACACAATGGCATTTACTCCTATTAAATTAATATATTGAAATTGTAACAAAGCACGAAGCCTTAAAAATAATCACAAATTGTCCTTTATGTCAGGTGTCCTAGGAGAGGAGAAGGAGGTGGTAAGGACGCATGGCATTCTGCAATGGGAACAAGTTTATAGCTAGTGCTTTCCCTAGGTCTTATTAGTTGATTTGGGAGAAAAAGTGCCAGAGGCTTTTTCTGTTCCTAGAAAGTTTTATCTGGAAAAGTCTGGTAACTATAAATAGGGTATATTAATTAGTCTTTCCCACTTTTAAGTTGGAAGGTTGATATTTTTTAATGTTATTATTTAAAGATCTTGGGAAAAAACCACTTGTAAATCTAATTAAAAAAATAGAGCAAACATTGATATAATATTAAAACAACTTAAAAACGAACTGTTCAACAATCAATTCTTTATATGAGGCAGCTGTTCAAAAATAACATTTGGCATTCGTCTATTACTCTCGTTCATACGTGGGGCAATGTTCAAATGTTTCATGTGCTATGTTTCCTGAAGCTTTTCTCTTCATGAAATAGCCCCATTACTCTAATTGCTGAAATAACAGTACTTTCCTGTTTAAATAGATCTTTAACTGTGTCCAGGAAGTCAAATGCAAAACAAGAGCTCTGATGGGGATCTGTTAAGACTAAATTGGTAGTTACATTTTTGTTTTCAAAGAAATTTTCTGAAGTGGATTTATTCCCAGAAAAAAAATGGAAATTTCCTAAAATAGCAGTAGTAAATAGTATGCGTACCTTGTTTATAAAAATCTAGTCTCAAAGACTGTTTCTGGAAAACCCTATTGAATGGAGATTTTATACCTAAATGGGAAATATCATTAGCAGCTATAACTGGCTATGCTCAAACCACAGTGAATCTTACACACATGGTCATTTACAGCTCGGGAACAACAACAGAAACAGTGAACAAGTTTCACAGTTTCTCTATTTTTATTGTTTTTATTTTTCAATTACAGTTGACATTCAATATTATTTTATATTAGTTTCAGATGAACAGCGTAGTGGTTAGATATTTATATAATTTACGAAGTGATCCCCTGATTAGTCTAGTACCCACCTGGCACTATACATAGTTATTACCTTATTATTAACTATATTCCCTATGCATTACTTTACATCCCAATGACTATTTTGTAACTAACAATTTGTACTTCCTATCCCTTCACTATTTTCACTGAACCCCCCAACACCCTTCCCATCTGGCAACCATCAGTTTGTTCTGTGTAGCTATGAGTCTGTTTCTGTTTTGTTTATTCATCTATTTTGTTCTTTAAATTCCACCTATAAGTGGAATCATATGGTATTTGTCTTTCTCTGACTTATTTCACTCAGCAAAATACCCTCTAGGTCCATCCATGTTGTCGCATCACAGTTTCTTATTTTAAAATGAAATGTCTTAGGTTTTTGGTTGTACTCATTTAAATAAAAGCTAAAACCTTACAAATATGTCAATGTAACTAAAAAGAAAACTTTCACCATAAAATCCCATCAGTTTAGAATACTTACAAATGTAAGTTTTCTTGATTTTAATCAATACATATATAGTGTTCAGCTTTTCATTTAAGTTTCAGTTAGATTATACTCTATAGACTTTTTTATTCTGACAGTCAATATAGTTGTCATATTTAATGCCCATAAAAATTCCATTATTCTATTGTATTGCTATATCACTGCCTCCTTCTAAGTTTTCTAATTATTGAGAATTTGACCCTTTATTCACTGTTGATTAAAATATCTTTGTATGAAAATGACTTTTTCCCTTCTCAATTAATTTCTTGGAATAGATTCCTAAAGAGGAAATTACTGGGTCACAAAATAAAACGGGATGATTTTTATCACCAAATTGATACTCAGGAACACTGTACTAATTTGTTACAATGTCAGTTGCAATATATGAGTATTTTCTTAAAGCTCTTCTAACACAGGATTTAATGCTTTCAATTTAATTTCTCAGTTAATACTGGTAAAGTATTAATTCTCAGTTTTTATTTACATTAAAAACTATCAGGTTGAATGGTCTACCAAATGTCTCTTTATTATTTGTGTTTCCTTTTGTATTCACTGTATATAGATTCTGTCTGTCTATTAAAGACTGAACATCACTTTGATGCATTTGTATTCATTTCCTATATATTCTGAAAACCAAGCTCCCATAGGACACATTTGTTGCAGATTTCCCTGGTTTTTTTTTTTTAGCTTAGATTTCCTAATGTATAGGAAAATATACATTATACTTATGTACTAAATATAATTATAATTATATATAACTATAATTAAAAATAAATATAATTATACTTATATATAATTATATATAAATATAATTAAATATAAATATAATTATACTTATATACTAAACTCAAACTTCTCAATCTATTTATAATTGAATATGCCTACTCTTTCATTTTTTTCAGAGTTTTTTTTTTAAGATTTTATTGGGGAATTGGGGAAGGGGAACAGCTAAGTTGTCCTTCAATCTTAGTTGTGGAGGACGCAGCTAGCTCCGCTCCAAGTCCAGTCACCATCTGGCCTCCCGACGGCAGCTTGCGGCCACTTAGCTCAAGGTGCTGTGTTCAATCTTAGTTGCGATGGGCGTAGCCCACCATCCCATGCAGGAGTTGAACCGGCAACCTTGTTGTTAGGAGCACATGCTCTTACCAGCTGAGCCATCTGGCCACCCATTGGCAGCTCAGTGGCAGCTCAGCTCGGGCGCAGCTCACTAGCCCATGTGGGAATCGAACTGGTGACCCTGTTGCTCAGAGCTCGCACTCTTAACCAACTGAGTCACTCGGCCGGCCCTAGAGTTTTTATACTTAAAAAAATTATCTCTGTGTCTCAGTTGAAATGTATGGAATATATTTCCTACAGAACAATTGCCCACTTTCCCAGCAGCACTTACTAAGTAATGGTTGTTTCCCCATTTTATGTCATCAGGTTTGTTATGAAACTTCTTGTGTGTGTATACATTTATTTCTGGCATTTCAATTTTGTTTCATTGGCCTGTATTTCTGTTTTTAACTCTGTACAAATTGGTACATGTACTTCAATATGTTTTAATTTCTGGTAGAATAAGTCACCTATTATTTCCTTGTTTTTTTTTTTAAACAAGAAAGGAAATTGATAAAGAAGAAATAAATAGTTCTCAATATCCCATGAAAAAATATATACATTTAGTACCTTTTCTATCAGTTCTTTTGCTACATCATTTGTTTGTGTCTCATAAGTTAGAGGACATTCCTCAATCACAAGCCTTGGGCGTCTTTGTCCACTGGGTGCTGCTGAATTCTTCGGGCTGTAACAGAGAATATGTTCATGGTTGGAAGCCAGAGGCTGATTGTAAGCTAGTATGCTCATGTGAAAATAAGTGAGCCACTCATAAATAAGGTCAAAGCAATCTTTTTTGTTTATTTGTTTGTTTTTGTTTTGTTATTTCCAGTCTAATGGTTGTCTTCTTATATAAAAATACCAGAAAAACATAGTAAGTTTTATGAATTTAAATTGCCTTAATTTAAACCTCTATTAATTTAATTTCTAATTTAATATGGAAGAAAAACTTCATGTCTGTTGCTTTAATAAAAATTATGAGAAATGATTTTAGATCATGGTTATACCTCAGTATTGTATAAAAACACAAGTAAAAATCCTATTTAAATACAGATAAATATTGTTCTGTATTTTTTCTTTTTCTTCCTTTCTGGCCTCTACCTCTGACTTATTCTTAGCCTTATCAGGGCACTACTAAGTCTATCTGAAGTAATGCTAAAAGAGAAAAAGATAATGTATACATGGTTTATAAAGTATGTATTACTACTGTGTGAGAAAATGGCATGTTTATTTAGTAGTGCTTGAACTAGTAAATATGTGATGAGTCTGCACAGCATGGTGAAGTCTACGCTATGAGAGGTCAGACATGGATAAGTAGGCAGTTCCTCCGTGGCAGACAGTGTCCCTTAAAAGCAACCTGGAATTTTTAAAAAACCTTTTTTTCCCCTCCAATTTCCCTGTTTTCTCCCTTTTCTTCTTATTTCATTTTTCCTTTTCTGCATAGCTCTTTCATAGCTAAAGTGACTGGTTATTAGTCCACTACTATAAAGAGAAAATACAAGTTTTACTCTGGTCTTTGAGACAGTTTTGATATAGTTGAAGAGTTGTATAAAAAATGTGATGTGTTGATCAAAGACATTGGTCTGGTTATTTTAATTCTTCATAGGAAGGAGCAACGGTATTTTCAAAAGTATCAAACTTACAAGCTTGGCTGGTGAAAATGGTTGCAGTATTATTTGGGAAAATAGCTATTATAAAAAGTTTATTTAAAACTAAACTAACATGGATGGATTCTACACCCTATTTTTTGGAAAAAGTTGATAAGAGGTTTATCCACTTTGTGAGAACTTGGCATGTAGGCCTTTCTGCTGTAAATGGATAGAAGGTATAGCTAAGTTTCTGTTGCCACCAGCAATAAAACAATATAGGAGACAGTTCAAAAAAACATTCAACAAGAGTGGACTTCAATGGTCTAGTCAGCTTTTAGCCCAGTGATAGGACTTGCAGCTAACTGCTGCTCCCTCATCTGCTGAAGTTTCTACAAGACCTTCCAGGTGCTTCTTTCTTCAGTCTGATTTCCTTTCGCTTGTTCACTGACATCCTCACCTAGGACCTGTTTGTCTGCAAGGGGCTAAAATCAGTGAGGAGTTTTAAGGAAGGAAATGTAAGTTTCCTTCTCTCAATTTCAACCACTGGAAAATGTGCCTTAAACCAAAACACCTGATTATCCTTTATCTCTATCACTCTGTTCAAACTTTCTGTTCTTTTAGCCAAAGAAAACTGTCACTCTCAATAGCTTCTTAGTATGACTGTTTTCTTGAACAGCAGGCTTACCTTAATTTCAAGCGTGATAACACCACCCTGTATAGGTAACTTGCAGGTAGGTGTTTTCGCTGCCGTACAGGTTGTATAACAGGATGAATAGCCCCAACAATGTATCCTTTAAGATAGTAGTCTTCCACTTTTGTTACTATATCTGGAATTGAATTTATCTTGATGACTTCTGGGTTTGGCGAAGCTGAAATAACAAATGCAAAGAGAAATTTGGACGTTCATGAAATTGAATTATACATTATTTCTGTGTGATATACTAATGAATAGGAAAGATATCCATATGATTTAATCCCAAATAAAGTTACACTAATGTATATTATACATTTTCTAAATTAATTTCAGAAAAAAGCAACAGTAACCTCATGAGTTGGTAGATATACAGTATTACCAATATATTTTAAAGTAAAAACACAATGCCTTATGTGTTTTTTTCAATTAATTCTTCATTTTTTAGGGTTTCATTTAACTATATTTCCAGTAATAGATATTGATGACATACATAAGAGAAACAATATTAAATTAAGAGCCAATTATTTTGATGATTCTGAACAAGATGAGATGCATAATTTCTTAATAAAATTCATACAAGTCTAAGAATTAAAAATAGGAGAAATGGTATTTGTTAAGCAAGAATTGTTATTTCCAATTACATTTCAAAAGCGCCGTGTTTTGAGTTTATCTGGGAAACTAAAAATATGATTCTTTATGGCACTTATAAAAATGCTTGAGTAAAGGGAATGAAAAAGTAAAGGTATCCAGAAGTTCTTTTTAATAAGTAAGAATTCTAAGTATAGAAGAAATTTAAATGCAAAGTTGATATGCAACTCAACCATCCCTTTGCAGCAGGATAAATCTGTAGAAACTATAGACTAGTACAATCTGTACAGTTTTCAGTAAAAGGAAAAGGGTGTGTTACTTGGGAAAATGTTCTTAATGTTCCAGTAGTATTAAAGAAACAACTTTATCTTCTGTAACAATATTTCTGATTTTCTGGAAAAAAATAAAGAGTTAGTATCTAGAAATAGACCTGCAAATTGAGTATCTCTTGAGTAACAAAACGTGAAATGAATTCCAGGCCTGGGCAGTGCTGGCTGTTGGGCTCTGTCAGCGTGGTCTGTGGCGTCCAGCACAGCACTGCTGCTAATTGCCTGAACACAGGAAGGAGGTTAAGAAGCAGATGAGGAAGAAGGGTCCGAGGAAATCCCACCTCCTCTTGCATTAATATCCATGCGATGGTGATGGAGAAGAAATCCACCATCAGTGGGTATTCATGCCAACTTCTCAGGTGAAAATATATCACTCAATAGAAAAGTTATGTAAACCAGGGTGAACCCATTTCCTCAAATTTTCATCCTCTTTTGGATTTAAACTAATCTATTTACAATATATGTTCTTTGTCATTATGATAGGAATAAAACCAGAATGATCCTGGACTTTGAAGAAACAGCCGGGTTTCATTGTAAAATGGCCCAGGTCTGCCTGGTATGTGGCAATCACCCTGTGAGTCATTTGCTTTTACTATTTTTCAATATTTTCACTATCAACACTGATTTCCAAACAAAGGCACTAGAAAACTATAAAACAGAGTAAATTGTTAAGACTAAGGAATGAAACACAACCTAAACTTATCTTCAGAACTATATACTAATCGTACAAAGGTTTTTAAAAATTGCAGCCTTTTAATGGATCTCATTGCTTATTGCAGAAAGTGGCAATGCTTTCGCATGATACAACAGACTCTCCTAATCTGGCCTCTGCCGACTTCCTCAGCCTCCACTTGTGTCGTCCTTGGTCTCGTGTGTCTGGCTTCGGCGTTCCTGAGCCCGGCACGCTCTTTCACGCTCCCAGGCCTCATTGCCTGCCCGCTCCCCAAGCCTGAGTTCATCGCTCCGTTCTCTGTGCCGTGCATTCTACTACTTCCTGTACCAGAGTGTCTGATAGCTACTTGTTTATATGCTTGTCTCTGCTGTTAGACTGAGAATTCCTTAAAAACAAGGAACTTACCTTATTTCTCTTTCTATGCCTAGCATTTTCCTAGGTCATTATGTTAAGTTGGAAAACCTATTATTAAGGGGAACTAAGAGGTAACATTACTGCAGAAAGGAAGGAAAGCCATCAAGGTTAGCTAGCAGAAATAAAAAATAGGTTAGTAAATTCAGGAGCAGTTGTACAGGTTATCTAGGCCTTGTAGGAGAGAGACACAAGGGAAAGAACACACAGGCAGTGTCGTAGAATTGTTATTCTTTTGCTCATAAGAGTGAGGGTGGTCAAGAGCCTAGTGAGAATCCAGCCAGGTGGCGCTAAAGGTCATATTCACTTTGGGAGGCTCCAGCTTCAGGCCCACTTAATGTTCTATAAGTTAACGATATGACAACGAGAAAACCCACATTGCAAATGAGGTAAAAAGTAATGAGAGGTGGAACTGTCTCGGGTGTGATGAGCTCCACTGGTAGAGAAATTCGGAGGAGGACTGTACCACCGACAAAGAATGAACTTGATGGTTCGGGAGAGCTTCTGGATCCTGCCGGCCTTGTTTCTCTCACTGACGTGTCTGGAGCCACTGTTAAGTCCTATACTGTCTCATTCGGTTTCAGTCTCATTCACTCTGGCACCATTGCTTAAAAGGAAACCCCAGAAATCAAGAGCTCAGGGTTGGGAAAGGTCCCCTCGCCCGGAGCCCTGGGTCAGAGGTCAGAGCAATGAAGGCAGCCCCGTGTTCTGCCTGCTTTCTGTGATCTTGTCACCATCCCAGAGGGTAGGGTAGTGCAGCAGCCCACACATAAAGGCATTTCATGAGTTCAAAGGGGCACTAACGTTGTTATTAAACATGGAATATTTGAAAATATTTCAATTATTCTTTATTTTCACCAGATGCTCGGCAATTACTAACATTACAGGTGACCCTTGAACAACACAGGTATGAACTGTGTGGGCCCACTTATGTGTGGATTTTTTTCACCCCCTGTGTTGTTCAAGAGTCAACCGTATTTGACTATTTTAGTTCCATAATACCACCTTCATCATTAAAGGTTATATGTTACCTGGAGATGGATGGTAGTGGTGGTTGCACAACAATGTGTATGTACTTAATTCCACTGAACTTTACACTTAAAAAGGGTTAAGACAGTTATAATGGTTAAAATAAAATTACTAAGTGATTAGTAAAAATAAAATTATTAAGTGATAAGAAAATAGTAAGCCATAGTTTAACTGGTACATTGGTAATAAACTGAAATTTATTTCCAAAAAAATTTATATCTATCACATAACCATAAAAACATAATCAACTACCATACAAATAAATACAATGAAAGAAAACACTTATTAGATTCTATCTAGATACTGTTATCTGCCAAAGACTCTAACCCACCACTCTGCTCTTTATTGAAAAGAAAAATTAGTCATTAGGTGTTAAAGACATATTAACTTTAAACTGATTGGAAGGCTTAAAAAGAAATGAATAGCGCACAGTTTTCTAAGTGATTCAATGTTATTTAACTCTCTCTGTGTGTGTACAACTTAAAAGCATCTCATGTCCAATGCCAAGTCATTGGGTAGAGGTTTGCAGACGCACTGGGTTCGAAGCAGCTGGGACACAATGGTAACAGCAAAGGGGAGGATGACATTAGAGGAAACTAGATGAATTATAAACTAGATAAAAGAACCATAAAATCTTTACAGTCTGGGGTCACTGAAAGGGCTTTCCACACTTCATTGGCCCAAACTGATAATGATAATGAAAGTCATTCTCTCCACTGTATTGGTTAGAACATGGTTTTCAAAGGTGGAGGTATGTAATGCGTTAAAAACAACCACCAAGGAAACAGCTATAACAGAATCACACTGGTGCTTAAAGAGGTCCCTGCTCAGGTACAGAATGTATTTCTAAGGAACACCTCACTCTCTGGTGATGTCAGAGAAATTTTGTGGAATAAATCCAGCTGTGATGGTTTAATCCACCTCTTCCTGCACTCTCAGTAAAGTAAGGTTATTTCTTGAGACTCAATGCAAAAGAAATGTTAATGTGTGAAACATACACACACACACACATGCACACACACACACGCACACACGTTTCAGGAGAAGTACAAACTGAGAAAGCCAGAAAAGCTACAAAGGGAGAAAAAAAAATTGTACACAGCACTAATAAACATATCTTAACATAAGTCTGTGTAATGATCATGTTTGTTTTGGGCCCATGCTTTATGTTAATTATTCAGCTGTCTCAAGTGTGCATATTCTCTTATCTGGAGGTCTGTGTCTTTTGATAAATAGTTAGAACTCAGGACAGACATTATGATTATGATAGGTGCTTAAGAAATACTTATTAAAAGACCAACTAAATGAAAAATTGGATGTAACATTTACATATTCAATTAATATGTAAATATTCTCCAGGGTGCTCATGGAGCAGGGTTTTCGAGAATAGACTCTAAGGACCAGACTGCCTGGCTTCAAATCCTGGATCTGCCACTGACTAACCTGGAAAGGTACCTTTGCAGGCACATGCCTCAGTTTCCTTATCTGTGAAGTGAGGATAATAATGGAATCTACCTTAGGAGGGTTAAACAAATGAATATTTGTTCCTAGAAAGTATCTGGCACGTAGTGAGTGCTATACAACCATTGGTTGCTTTGTTAGCTAAGGTCTTCCCTTATCTAAGGGAGGCAATGCATTATTCTCACTAAAAGCATCAGGCCCTACAAGCAAATCCCCTGGGTGCAAATCCTGGTTATGCCATTTGCTAGGCGTGTGACCTGAAATAAGTCCTTTACTTTTCTGAGATGTGGACAAATCATTGTATTAACGTCATAGAATTGCTTTGATAGTAACTGTGAAACATGAGCCCAATGCCTGGCACAACGTAAACACTGGAACATCAGAGATGTGCCTGTCTGTTGGTGAGATGGTTTCAAATATTGTTGTCCTCAGAGATAAGTCATAGCTAGTTTAAAACATCTCCAGGAAGAAGATTATTGTAGAGTTTTGGATTTATTCCAAAACCATGGCTTGGCTCCCAACTTATAGAACTCCAAATCAAAATCCCTAACTGACACTCTGGATCAAGGTTCCGGACTCATGCTCTGGATCGCAGGCCCCTAACTCACAGCCTAAATCAGGAGTCCCTGGCTCCCACTCCAAATTGCGGGTTCCTAACTCACACTGATCTACACAGACTCAAAC